CTGATTCACATCAGTGATGCTAATTAAGCTTGGGTGGGAACACTGTGGCGAGTAAGTCCTAGTTGCTACTTCAAACCTTATTTTCATCAACCTTTCTAGTTGGCAACAGTGAGAAATGTTAGGAAGAAATCTGAGGGCCCAAGTGTGTACATTCTTATCACGTCTGTGTTGGAGAGTTTCTTCAGTGCTCTCCTCACAGTCTGCTCTCCTTGCTCTTCCTGTGGATTTCCTGCCGACTCATCCCTGTCCACAAGCCCCTGCTTGCTTCTGGCAGAAACTGCCGTGGTGAATCACACGACCCTTGTGTGAAATATTAAACCCCAAATATTGGAAGCAATAATCCTGAAAAACCGTAGCTTGGAAGCTGTGCTCTCACAGTCTCATCTGCTTATGGCCAAGCAGAGCACACGTGGCGGTAACTCTGTGGAGCTGCCATGGTTGATTCTTGTCTAGGGAAAGGGAGAGCCTTTGATGACTTTGCAGTCCTTTGCAGTAGGAAGGTTGCTGGTTTCTTCTTCAGGCTGATGCAGCAGCAGGCCAGAGTGAATGACAGAATTAGAGGTTACAATACTCTGACATCAAGTGAAGCGACGGTAGGTTGGCCCTGGTATAAAGCACGTTATGCTGTTGGGGCTGAGGTGATGTTGTCTAGGAGCAGTGGCTATCTCCAGGAAGGCAGTGCCAAAATTATCTGTTGATAGTTGTCCTGGTTTGAACTGTAACAGAGACAGTTCTCTGTTCAGTGATTTTTACTTCACATCTAAGTCTCTTCTAACTAACTGTACTTTCTGAAGTTAACAGCAAATTTTTTTTCAGATGGTGCCTGCTTCTAGAAGTGGTAATGCTTGAAGGATTGGTATGCAGAAGGGGTCTTGCTTATATTTGCTCCTGTAGAAACCAAGGTCACTGCTAAATCTTGTACGTGAGGTTGGAGTGGTGCAAATATAAAGGTTGCACCTTCAGGGAGGAGTGGACAGGACAGGTGACCCAAACCTGACCAACAAGGTGTATTCCATTCCGTGTACACTGTACTGGGTATGAAGCTGAGGGATCACAAGGGTCAGACTCTTGTTCTCTAGCTGGCATTCAAGAACCACTCAGGCTGTTCTTCAGCTTTTGGTCCCAGTCTGTGCGTTCCCAAATCCGGCTCCTAAATCCCATTCCCAGCTGCTGCTGAGTCCAGTCTGGGACTTCTCCAGTGCCTGCCCTGCAGTGTCAGTGGTGACCTGATCATTAGGGCAGTTCGATACTGGTTTTGTATCTCTTTATACATATTTCATTATTTTCTTGTTAAGATTACCTTTTCTTTTTATTGTTCTATTAAAACTGTTTTAATGGTTATTTTTTTCCCTGAACCCCTAAGTCTCCCTTATTCTCTTTCCCTTGACCT